TCTCTCTCTCTCTCTCTCTCTCTCTCTTTCTCTCCCCTTTCGTAGCCCGACTCGCAGAGCTCGTTTCGAGAAATGCAGTTGGGCTAGCAGATGCGCGGTTTAAGGACCACGACCGCTCTGTCCACGGAGTATGAACGATTATGCTATAGAAGGGTAGATGTAGTTCAGTTTACGAAATTAAAAGATAGCAAGAACGTGATTGGATCGATAAACACGTGGAAACAAGCTTGGTCAGAAATTGGACAAATGATTGAAGATTGTGTAGAATGTACGTTAAAACTCTGCTATAACTTGAAAATTACAGTAAATATCTTACTGGTTCACTAAGTGAAATAGCTATTCAAAATTCGTACAAAGAATTGCAGTTTTTGTTTCTCGCGAGTACGTTTCTCAGAATTCTGACAAAGTTTACATCTGGTTACCGTGTTGGCCAGAACTCAATTTCGTGCAACTTCTACAATTACCAATCCTGACTACGCAATATACTCGCACGTTTCCACGATTTTATCCAGCTGTTGTGTGAATCTGACGAAGGATTTGTAAAGGAAAGAAGCGTGACCGATCCAACACCTGCGTCGCTCCGAATTTGCTCGACGACGAGAATATTTATGAAATTTCACATTTCCTCGCGCCACGTGAATGATTAACGGGTTAACTGAACTCCACTGAATTTTAAGCAGGAAATCTTACAACATCGCCGCCACAGTGCCGAGGTAAACGAGATAAAAATTTGTGGATTCTTTCCGAGAAAACCGCTTTGGCTACGCGGCTTGACTTGGGTCGAGTTTCGAGGGTTTTTTGCTGAAGAAAGGGGTAGCCGAGGTATTAAAAGGTCGCCAGAGCGCCAGAGTAAATCCACAAGAGCGACGCATTTATCGAGTAAGTGCGAGTAACAATGGCTCGGAGAACGCTCTCGCCGTACCCGAGCAGACGTTAGAGTCACGTTTTGCAAAACGCGAACAGAGCCTAAGGAAACACTTCCAAGCCACAAATCACCTTAATTTCATCCGCAATCATCAGAGGAGGACTACGTTTCAAAATCGTTCTTCACGTTTATACACTCTCTTGAAAAGGAGAAGGACAGATTTCGAAACGCTGATTGCACAATCGCTCGCACTCATAACCATAAGAGAACACGTCTGGGCCAGCTAAGAAAGTTAACTCTTCACCTCGATTGTCAATGCTTTCGACGTGATAATTTATTTAACCTGAGAGAGGTACTCTGGTTTTGTACTGTACACTCGCGTGTAAGTTATAACAGTGAGATCGATCTGAGTGTATCTACGTCTCTCAAGGAGTTAAAAATAGATACTATATAGTGTAATGTAGCTTACGATTAATGTGGCAAAAACTCGTGCCAGTGAGAAACAGAATTAGACACTGTTTCGTTAAGCTCGCAAGATTTCGGATTTCAGAGTACCGATTTTTTTTCGGTAAATCGTGACACCGTATCGACAGAGTATAAATCTAGAAAGTCTGACGGGTTCTGTCGAATCGCAGGAGTTAAAGGCAGAGAAAACGGCGTCTAGAGCGTCTAGAGCGTTTTCCTTGGTTCTCGTCCAACGTCGGGAACCGTTCCTTGCCAGAATTGGTTTAAGAGTTCGCGACCTTTTCCGCCACGGGATGACCCTACCGCGGATCGTTCGTTTGAGCAATCTTGCCTTTCTTCTTTGGCAAGATTGAAACTCCCAACCCCCTCTCCTCCCCTTCCCAAGGCGCCGTTTAGCCGCCTCGAGCAACAAAATTGCGTTTGCCCTCGCGTCGATCGAGAATTAAATCCTCGGGATTAATCTCGCTCTTTCCGCTCCATGCTCTGACTTGCCGAGAGATATGTATGTACGTGCATGGTACGTCGTAGAGTCTATGGTTTAGGTTAGGTCGGATGTATTGAAAAGACACGTGTACATGTGTGACATTTATGTAACGTACATTGGTGAATTAAAAATTCGTGTTTCTAAGCTATAAATATAAAGTATAGCTAGTGTACTAGTTCAGTACAGCTAGGTCGTGATTGTAACAATATGTAGAATTCTTAAAATTTAGGAGACTTCATTCTATTTTGTATTTCTTATTCTCCATTAGTAATGAAATAAAAATTAGCTTAGATTTAGTCGAATCTCTATCGTGAAGAATGTAAAAGACGAAATCAAGCTCTAAATTTCAATTATCTAACGCAAGTTATCGTTATCATTTACCGAAGGTTGAATACGCGTAAGAAATAGAGATCTCTAGTGCATAGGATATTTTCTCAAGCTTCAAATATACTCTGAAAGATTTTAGAATTTTTCGGAGTTTTCAGCGAGGGAAAGTTCATAGTCCGGTGAATTCTCTATTGATAAAAAAAAAAAAAAATAAAACAGGATTCTGAACTTTTATGGAGACAAATATGCGCGACCATGTATATGTCCGATTGTAAATGAACTGTTGGCAGCTCGATGAAGCTCGTTGAATTATGGATTTTTTCGAAATCGTTTTAGCTAATCCATAAATGCATCGCAAACAATTTTTGTCCCATCGCAGCAATTTTTCTTTTTTTTTCCCCCCCAAATAAACTATAACACGTGATACGTTGCTTTCGATTCTTAGCACGTAATTTAATTCGTGTTTCTTGAAAAACGGAAGGGAAATAGTGCAAAAACTGTTTCAAGTCAGCTCAAGTTTTCTTAATCAGCCCGAGTTATTTAACTCGCGATATGCACAACGCACTGGCACATCTATCCGATCGATGCAAAAAACATCTCGACCGAGATTCTCAAAAGAATCTTACCCCCAAAAGAACCGTCTTTCCCTTAATCGCTCCCTTTCAACCGCGGCCACCTATTTTCACGGAACATTTTCTCCGCGCCGCGAGTTCCCGGCACGCCTTTCTTCGCGTTCGAGGAACTCCGTG